TTGCTAACATATATTTACCTCTGTTAACTCCTTTACTAATTTACATTTAATATCATATTTGTCTCTCACATCTTAATTGAGACAAATACCCAAAAAAAAATCCTGTGTGCATTTTATTTTTTAAATCATAATATATCTGGTCAATTTATTTCTGTGTCAGGATATTTTTACTATATTAATGAAGGAGTTAGTAGAGTTGAATTGAAATTAACTTCATCAATCCCAACTCATTCATTTTAAAATTATAAAGACAAACATAACATGCTAATTAAATTAAATTAAAATAGTGTTTAAATTGATGAATTTAAATTTGAATTTTAAATTTTAAATCTTACATTATTTGGTTAGGGTACTTTAAAAAATTTCTAATAAAGAAAGTAGATGATTTGATATTCCAAACAAAAATAAAAATTAAAAATAACGATTTTATCTCTATTTTTAATCAAGAAGAGATAAGAATGATGATAAAAAAAAATATAAAAATCATAAAGATATCAATAATTAAAACATAAAAAAAAAGATATTTAAAGTAGTTAAAATTTTAAATAATTAAAGTGTATAGAAAGTTTGAAATTACAAATAAATTGTAATAAAAAATGAAATCAAATTTAAATTCAAAATTTTTATATATTTAAATGAGAGATTTAAATTACATCTAAATTCAAATGCACATTAATTCAAACAACCTTAAAGAGACTAAAAATAACAAGATAAAGTTATAGGAACTAAAATTAGCGCAATCAAAGTAGAGAGACACTCTGATAGAAATGAAAAAGACGAAGGAGAGATAAGGACGAAGAGGAGACAAGAGAGTGATGGAGGAGAAGAAAGGAGAGACAAGGCCTATCTTTTGTGCTTGGAGGGCAATCAAATGCTGCTTTATTCTGAGAAAAAGTTAAGCTCTTCAAACAAAGTAATCACAAGAACACCATTAAGCATATGCACCAATCACCATCACTTCTCGTGTATGTGTGTGCACCTATGGCTACCTACAATGGCGGAGACAGATGAATCTATAAATTAATGTTTATCCCCACATCATCTCTCTAATATATCTTTCTTACAAAAATATCACTTATAAGTTATATACATGCATCATTATTCATCATATTAACTATATTAGAGTTAAATAATAAATTAGCTTTTAAATTATAAGTTCAGGAGTATCTGGGACTCTAAAATCATTTTTGTACAATGTGCTCTTTTAATATTTTAAAATAATATATTATTGTCTTACTGTTAATAAATATTAACTTTGACAGTTAATTGATTGAAAATATTATGAGCCATTTTCTATAAATTTTTTTTAGTCATTTTCTATAATTTTTGAGGTTTTTTTTTGTAATTTTTAGTTAATTAATGATCAGATTTAATTTTTATTAATGATAGGAGTAATATTTTATCATTTTTAAAAGTTAAATGTAAAACATCACACTGAAACTAAGTTTAAGGCTTCCAACGCTTTTAAACTTATAATTTAAAGTGAAATTTTCTTCAACCAACTATATTAAAATAAAAACCTTTCTTGAATAAAGATTGGTCTATGTCAATGATCTTTTTGAGTTCTTACTTATTTATCTTTGACATGGTTTTGCACTTTTTTCACTGAGCATGTTGATCCTAGAAAAGTATTTTGAGCTATAATCCAAGTACGTGTGATTCTTGCAGATATATAGTATAATCCTAATTGAGAAGTTAAGAGAATGAGTTTACTCCAAATTTAAGCTATCAAGATGGGATAAATGTACCACAGTTTAGAAATGATTTAAAGGTAGAAATTAGTAATCCCATCACGCTGCAGATGTCAAAGTTTAAGTTTTGGGATCAATATTACAAAATTATGGTGAAATTACTACAAATATTAAACATACTATATAAGTTGAGTGGTTGAAATGAAGGAATACATTAGCAATTATTTGTAATCATAAAATATATATTGAGATTAAAAAAAGTTTTATCTATTGTTAATTATATGATCAGTAATGTTATCTGGTAATGAATTATGAGAGTTGTGAAAGAACAACATACCATAACAAAGGCTGATGAAGATTAAGGAGCCTCTCAAAGGCTGTTTAGAATCAAAGCGCCAATTGCATGACCTATTAAGAGGAATTAAAGGTATAATGATGACCAAAAACACGTGCCATGAAGGAAGCCAAAAGAGTCATTTTGGATATGTAAGCCACTAGAGCCATAATTCAAGTCAAGTATGATGACTAGCCCAAAAAATGTTAAAGTCGTCGGGCTTACTATATGAGCTTTTTAAGAGGGTATGATACTTTAAACTTGATTCGAAAAACTCAACCAGAATAGATCAGTTCAAATAAACTCAATCATTAAATTTCTAACTCTATATGTATATAGAGTTGGTAATTTTGGCCAAACCTAACAAGCTAACATGAACCAGCCGAAAAAAATTAAAGATCGAATTTAGTTATATAAGCTTTTTTAAAGAGAGTATAATATTTCAAGCCCAATTTAATAAGCTTAACCTAAATAGCTCATCCCACTCAAATTATTGGCTCTATAGAGTACTATATGTTGCCTATGATGTAGAATCAAAATTGCCACTTATCTATGCATTAAAGAGGCAATCTGTAAGTGTCTCTCTAAGTGTTATTTGAGCCAAGAACATTCCTGACTCTAGTAAGCTCTAAAATTTAACTCACTTAAATTTTTTTATTTATAATTTTTTTAAAAAAAAGAGGGTGGACTTAACATTACGGAATCTTTTTTTTTTTTTGGTTGCTTAAAAAATGTTTACGTCAAAGGGCGTGTAAGGGTATGAGATGGGCTTGGCCACTTCTCATTAAGCCCTAAAGGTGGCATGCTTAATGTTTGACATTAAGATTTAGCTAGTTATCCATTTAGGAATCAATTTAAAAGTCCAATATCTACTTTTTTTGACGTGAGGTCCAATAACTATTGAATTCATTTAAATTTCATCAAAACTGATTTAAATGGATTCTAAATCATCATATTATGTTTCTAATTCATACTCTATTTTTTGGGACACGGTCTATTAGGTTTCTGGGTTCAAGATCAATATTATTATTTTCTATTATCTTGTTGATATTCTTTATTTATTTTTCTTCCATTATTACTAACCAATTCATAATTTATGAATTTTCTTGAACAAGTTCCGATTAAGTTCACATCGATAGCAGAAAATCATTTAAAGTAATTTAGACATATGCAAAGAAAATTGACAAAAGCACTAGTAAAAATGATTAATTAAATGGCTTTTTGGTACAATCAAAGATGTCGAGGAAGACTAAAAAAATTTAAGAAACTTATGAAATGAAATAAAACTTTTATGACACTAATTATATGCTTAATTAGTGAAATATTGGTATAAATATTAGAGAAAATGATAATGAATCATTTTGAATTATGCTGAGTCCTTTAGAGACTTTTTTTTATCATTAAGTAATTAATGTAAATGATAAATTGCCCTTATTCAAACTTATAAATTGTTGTTGAATTCTTGTAATTTTAAGAAAAAGTTATGAATTTTAGAATAAATTTATGATGACAATTAATTCGTATCACTTAAGAATATCAAGATTTTAAATGCGAATTTGTAAATTATTTTTGAATTCTTATAATTTAAGAAAAACAAATGTGAATTTGAAATAAAATTTGTGAATGAAAAATTGATATTTAAATTAGGATAATTTGATCATTTATAATTATTCCTTAATAATAGAAAATCTCTAAAGATTTCGGGAGAATTATAACATTTTGAGGAACTAAAGTGTCTTTACTAATTCAAAAGAATTCTATTGTCATTTTTTCAAAATATTACACTGGAAAAATCATATTTAAGGATTCTCGGTAAGTTAATGACAATCAGGACCTTTAAATTTTGAAACTTTCAAACAGGATATGATCCCTATAATTAAAATTTTCTTGAGTTAATTTTTTTCAATACCCATCTTTCACATTTGCAATAGTCAGTTTTTAATAGTTATTTTAAATGATTTTGATACTCATCTTTCATGTTTTTAACACTAAAAAAAATCAAAGATAAGTATTTATAATGATAACATGAAAATGAGTGTTGAAAATATCTAATATATTTATTGAAAAAATTGAAAACTGATTATTGAAATGTTAAATATAAGTATTGAAAATATGAATGATGATTACCCAAAAAAAATTAACTAATGAAACTTTGAGGATTCTCTATGAATATTAATGACAACAAATGATATTAATACTTCGAGAATGGTTTTATATTCACATGCTCCCCAGTCATAGCTTTGTGACGTTCACTTTATGTTTCTATTAACTTTTGTCTTAATATTACCAAAAAAAAAAAAATAGTCATAGCTTAGCGTTACCGTGTATCTTATATCCCTAAACAAATTAACAAAAATGACAAGTAATGTTCGATAATCATTATAAGTATAACAAACATTACACATATCTATGGTGGTCATTAGAATAAAATGAATGAAATGGATTAAAAAATTAAAATAAAAATAAATTAAATTATCTTTTTCTCATAAAAAAAATATGATAAAATTCATTAATATATACTATAAAAGTAAGAATTATTACACCCTCCAAAATTTTCATAAATTATGATTTCAAACCCTACGAACTAAATTATCCTTTCCCTTTATGAATGTGCTCACCTATCCCCTCTGATCATCTTATTTTTACTTTTATTTTTTCAATCAATTTCATTCTATTCCTTTCTAACAACCAAATGAACCTGTTATCATTTTCAATATCAAAACATTCAGGTAAGTTCCATTCTTAGCAATCATAAAAAATTACAGTGAAAATCTCACGGCTCAAAAACTACTTACAAAATTACCTATAGATTGCTTATAAATAAAACTCTTCACGTTAATATCAAAATTGAAGCCGCGTCAACTGGACGGACACACACACAATATATTAGCACAATAAAAAATTTTTTTTCCCCCTGAAAGCAAGAGAACAGAATAAGCTTGAATTTAGACTTTGAATAGTCATCCATTCCAGGGCAAAGAAATTACACTAGTTTGTCCATCTCAAACAAAAATGGCCTCACCACTATGAAGTTTCAAGCTTCCCTAACTTCCTACCCATCATCATTGATCACCATAAACCAATGAAACAGGTATCTATATATAACTAATAACCACAAACACACACAGAGGCTTACATCTCCATGAACCCTTTCAAAGCCTCACTGAAAAATGAATTCCTCTGATGCTCCACTCTTTGAAGATGTGAAGACAATTGGAGTAGATCAACAGTGGCTCCATCCTCAGGTGGAAGATAGTGTTTGGCATGATTCAATATGGACCCATTCTTGACAGCTTCCATGGACCTCAATCCATGTGATGACGACTCATTTTGTACATAACTAGTCAGAGAGGTAATGCCCAGATGTATTTTGGAAACTTGTTCATCACTGTGGTTTGCATGACTAGCATGGGAACTAGTAGCTCCCGGCCTTGCTGCCGGGCGGCGGCATGACAGGTTCTGTGATTGAACTGACAGAAGAGAGAGAGCACAGCTCGCGTTTGAGGCCGTAGACAACTCCTCCTGACTAGATGTGATATGTTGTTGTTCATGCAAAATGCCTCTACTGATCATGTCTTGTGAGGCAAACTGGGGTCTCTTCTGGAATGAAGCCTCCAGATGATATTTGGACCCTGAAACTCATTCAATGTAAGTAAGAGAAATCAATAAGATCAAGATCAAGGTACATCATTTGCTTATGAATATTTATTTGCCCACCTTTGGTTACAAAAGGTGAAAAAGTATTACTCGCATATTTGGGCTCAGTGGTGAAGCCCTTAAAGCAGTGTTCTTGATGTTTTGAATTTGAATGATAGTATAAGAAAAATAAGATGATCCACTGACAGTTTTGTTCTCATAATGTTATTCAACAATATGTGTTTTTTTGTTTTTGTTTTTGGGAGAATGACCGTTAAGTCCCAAAGAAAAAATTAGTGATAGTTTGGTCCCAATAAAATTTACTTAAAAATAAGTTGCAGCAAGTATTTATTCAAATAATGAAATAATTTAAAATTCAGGAGGTCCAATTAAAAATAAAAAAGTTAAATTATAAATGTAACTGCATGAATCAATATTTGCGACTCCTTTTTTAAAATTTTGTTAGGGACTTAATTGCCATTAATTCTCTCTTTTGGGACTTCACTGCCATCCCCCCCCCCTTTTTTTGCTTTTTGATAGTAAACATAGTGTCATTTTCATCCTCAAAATTACATTTTTTTTCATCACTCATTGTTTAATTTTTCTATTGAATATAAACAGCAACAGCACTTAGTCAGAAAGTGAAGTTATAAGTGTAACATTAGTGAGCAGAATAATAATGTCAGTAACAGACATCAACACTTGATTCCAACAGGAAAACAAAGACCAGAAACTTGTTTTCAGTCTCAAGAATCTGAGCCATACTTTCAATGAAAACAAACATCAGGAACTTGTTTTAACTCATGTTAGTTCTTAACTCTTAAGCAACCTCAGAATGTAAGATAGTTCCATTCGTAAAGGTTTTTTTTTTTTTTAATTGAAATTAATCATTCAATTCAATTTCTTCTATAGGAATTTGAACATGCAAAACATACAAGTCCCTATAATATCAGGATATAGGAACAACGAGAGTAAACTCTTGTATGTTTTCTAAGCCTCTGTGAATATAAAATACCTGACAATTTCTACCCAAAAAAAAAAAAACAGACAATTATATTATTAATACATTACATATCATATGCTGGGACCACAACCTTAAAGAGTGACTTGTAACATAAATTAAAGGACCTATAGGTGCCTCAGGCTCCAGTGGTCCAAACTGTTTAGAAACCTAGGACATTTTTTTTTTATTCTACTTTGAAAAGCCCCATTTTACAGAAAAATCATTGGGTTGACCAAATTTCTCCACAAACAAACTTGTCCCGGTCACTATGCTCAAAACTTTGGCACAACTTATTCATATTTATATGAAATATAATAAGATAAATGTCTCATGACAGGATGCAGTCTTGGTCTAGTTTACTATAATAGATGAATTCATTCTCATGATTGATACAGAAAATTATAGGAAAAGTCATAACATCTTCAGAAAAATCTTAATAAAAAATTATATTTGACATTTGATGAGGCTATTGACACCTATGCACATATGCTCCTGTAGTGATAAAGTAAAACAAAACGTGACATGTAGTTTCAGAAAACAACAAATGCAAGATCCCAAGACTTGTTTTCCTTCATGGATTCCTGCTACAAAACCTTTATGCAATAGGATCATAAAAATTACCAATCATTTGGAAAGAGACACATTAAATAAAGGAATATTCAACTATAACTTCATGTGACTTCCGGGTACAACTATCTCCACATAAATCACAAGCTATTTGGTCATTAAATGCCTCTCTATACACAGATATTGTGCACCTGTTAAAGTAAAATCTTTATTCTACACATTATAATTTGCAATTTTCTTAGTTAATACATCTAATTGTTTCAACTTCTCAAAAATCACCATTGGTGATTGAATTTCCTAGATTCATGCTTTGAATTCCAAAAACATTTCACTTTTCAAATTTTTGTTAGATTGCATTGATTCAATTGAATGTTATTTAAAGCCCATAATATAATTAATACATCTAATTGTTTCAACTTCTAAAAAATAACTATTGGTGATTGAATTTACTAGATTCATGCTTCGAATTCCAAAAACACTTCACTTTTCAATTTTTGTTAGATTGCAATGATTCTATTGGATGTTATTTGAAGCCCATAATATAGTTTCTTCCACTTATACCTGATAATGAGGAGGTGAGCATGAGACAATTTATTAGAGACAGGCATTACCTTATTAAACAAATTCAAGAAAACAAAAGTAATAAAATCTTTCAAGTCATAGAAGACCATATCATCATTGAAAAAACATCCATATAAGGAAACTTCTCTAATTATTGATGTGAAGTATGACTTGTATGCAAATTAATGGTCCCATTTATTTATGATCTGCAACTAAATTAGCAGATAAAAGATAAGGAAGGACAGTGAGAGCTTGTGCATGCATGATGCAGCTATTTTTCATTTTCTGTTTCTGAAACATGTTAGCAGCAAAGTATTTTTCTTACCTTGATGTAACTGGAGCATCTTGTAGGGTTTGCCAGATAAGTAATCGAACTGAGGCTTCCTTCTGCGTTGATTGTGTCCAGCTAGACGTCTACGACAACTGCGCTTGCCCTCATCAAACTCAGCTAGCAAATGGAACCTATTTCAAGGATGGAAAGAGAAAAATTCATTTTAATCCATACACAACATTCTAGAAGCACAATCTGACATCATAACTAAAGTGCATTAGATGAGATTAATTACAGTATAACTAAATTGGTACTTCCATAGCTTAAAACACATTTTTAAAGGAGAGAGAAAGAAAACCTTGAATATTGTACAAATAGAACCCAGAAGAATCATATGTAATCTTTGGCATGAATCTATTTCAAGTCGGTACATTTCAGCTTCACCCACATGTTGCTAGTCAAATGGAGAGGGGGGAAAGCATCTCTTCTGGAGCAATTAAATGAAAGATTCCTTTGATGTGGTGAATGGCCAAAATTCAAGTCACACCCTAAGTACTTTAGTAGTCAGCCAGCCAGTGTCTTTTTTTTTTTTTAAATAAATTGCATGTGGTATAAAAATAAGCAAATAGTGATAATCACTACTATGAGATATCAAGGTGCTTGTTTTTGCAGGATATCATCAGCAAGAATCTTTATTTGGGTTTCATGAGATGAAGTACATCAATCAACGCCCAGCTGCAATCACCCATTTTAATTCTTTAACTTTTATTTTTTATTGCTAAGAACTTGCATTGTCATAAAAGACTGCAACAACAGCAAAGTTACTTGCCTGCTATTAGTCATTATAGAAGAAATTTAACAAATGAAAAGACAAGCACATTACAATAATTGCACCGCTGCAACAAATATAAGGATCTATGGTAAAATATTGATGTTATGAGATGACCATCTCATTGTAAGGAAAAAAATGCTAACCTGCTACACTGCTGACAAAACCTCTGCTCAATTCCATTAACAATAACTTTGGCTGTCTTGGAGTGAGCCTCACAAACTTTATGCCTTTTGTGGTACTCTTTTGAGGAGCTAAGATCCATGTTACAACCATAAACTATACAAAAAGGCGTCTGAGTTGACGAGCCGGAAGACCGAGCTCTGCTTGCAATTTTATCACTACTTGCATCTTTACAATCTGCTATTCTCCCCAGCTTCAAATCAACCAGTGATGAATTGGGACTTTTAGATTCAGCTCGAGAACCTAAAAACATTGGCTGAGATTCTTGTTCCATGAACGATGATTCCATGGCAGAGGTATTCACTCTTTTACTATGATTTCTATCTAGCTCATTTTGAAACGAGTCATGAAATCCCAGGTCAAAAACTTCCATGTTTTTAGCTTCCCCAATACAAGAGCCAAATTCATCCCTCTCCAAGTTACAAGGATTCTTGCCTTTTTTCCCTCTCATAAAAGCTTGGAGCGAAAAATCCATGTCATCATAAATCAAACAGCCTTTCTCTTCTGAGAGATAACTCCAAGATTCCATTACTACAGTGTACACACAGCTGAATTAAAGTTGCAGGAGCTAGAACGCAAGAATGTGCACGGCTACCACAATCCAAAAGCAATCACTTAATAACATGCATAATACCTACATAAGAACAATGAAAGAAAATCAACAGATGCAAAAGCAAACACATACAAAACAAAAAGAAAAGCAATATACAGAAATAATATCACAAATTCTCCATGAAAACAGCAAGCCGCAACAATAAGATCCTAATTCGATTTCAGAGACAAAATACAAACCGCTTCCCAGGATGATTCACTTTACAGAAGAGTTTTTTTTCAAAGTACGGACCGAAGGGGGAAAACTTTAGAAGGACGAACCAAATCAAACCCCATTTGATGGACTAGATATCTTCAACTAGTATCATATTTGAAATCCCAATAGTGAAATTGAAGATCCAGGACCAGAAACTGTGTTCCAGAATAGAATTGGAAAGAAGGAAACAAATAAAAAATGCGCATGAAGAAAGGTGGAAACGAAAGGCTCTTTTCTCTACTGACAGAATGAACAATTTGCTGTAAAAAAAAAAAAAATGGGAGTCCCACCATTGTAATTTTTTTAATCATTTTATGGATTCAGTTTCTGAGGAAGCCAACAGACGAGGGGAAGGCAGCCAAAAATGATACCTTTGAAGAGAGAGAATGTGGGTGGAAGCACCATGTGAGTAGTTTTGCAAAGTAGAGTGAACAGTGAAGGAGGGTGGGGGAAGAGAGAGAATATATGTTGCATCTGATATATAAATTATATATCAGATGCAGCATGAGTCAACATGATTTCCACTACTCCCAAAAGCATGTCGCGGTGTTTTGTAGCTTTTGAGACTTGGAGAGAATCGGGAAATTCCATTTCTGTACAAAACAACTGTTTCTATTTACCGCCGCGGCGGCTTGGAGGTTGGAGCCGGGGACCATGGAAGGTTGTTTTTCCCCCCTGGAAAACAATGAAAGATTGGTAAGCTGAATATTTTAAGCCCCGCAAAATGTAAGGTTAAATTATTATTTTAGAGTATAAAATAATAAGAGAGAATGATAAGTAAGGATTTTATAAAAAAACTAATATCAAATTCAGAATTTTAATACTATAACATGATAGTACGAGTGTTAAAATTTGAGGATGCCAATGTTAAAAAATCCTAATTTAACATTAATATTTTTATAAAATTCTTATTTATCATTCTCTTTAATAATAATTTGGGCCCTTTTAAGCCTTAAGATAAAAGGGTGAGTCCTTTTAAGCTTTATTATAATTTTTTTAAATTTTAATATTAAAAAAATTAAATACTATATTAATTCTAAAACTTTAACCTCATTTTAAGAGGATAAAGAAGAAATATATAAAAAGCTTAATATATTTTTTACTAATGAGGCTTCACAAGGAGAATGATAAAATTATATTGATATTAATGATAATGAAGATCATTAAAATTTAGTTGATGATATTAATAAAATATGATTATTATCGATGTTAATTTATGATATTATTATTTTTATTAGATTTAAATTTATTATTGTGTCTATTAACTTAAATTTATTTTTTAGAATTAACGTAATAACTTTTTTGAGATTTTTATTAAATTTTAAAGTGAAAAAAAATTATAAGGCAAGGCCTTGAGAGTTGGGTCAGGTTGATCAAAATAAAACTTTAAAACATAATTAAATTTAATAAAACTAATCTATTTAAATTTTAATCCGCCAGCTTAATTGACAGCTTCAAACATTGAAACATGAAAACAAAAAAAACAAACAAACAAAAAGAAGCCGAAATCACAAAGTTCACGAAATATCAGTTGTTGGCATGAAACAAAATATAAAAACATCAATTTATTAACAGTTACCTTTTTGTCGGTAAAAAAGTTAGTTTTCCTTACAAAATTTTTTGCAGAATTATTTGTAAATATTAATTTAAATAATTACTCTAGAGAATTTTAATTGTAAATCAAAGTTATATTTAAAACTTAAATGATTGATTTGCAATTTAAATTAATAATAACAATTTATATTTTAGTTGCAATTTAAACTCTTAAATTTATAATAATATAAGTCGATAATTACAATTCATATTTAGATAGTTTGTAAAAAACTTAAATACCATTAAAAATGAGATTTGGGATCTGATTGTCACTTTCCTAAAAAAAACAATAAAACTAAAAGCACATATATTTAGTGAGAAGAGAAATTTTTAAATAGATTCGATATATTACGTTTATTATAATTTATTCAATAAATATGACATTCAATTATTATTAAATAAATTTTAATATCAAGTCAGATTTGAGTAATCTTAAAAAAATTTTAGGGAGAATTTCAACTAAGATCATGAAAGAGAAATATTTATTAGTGGATACCAAACAAATTTAAAAATTCTCTGCAAGATTTCTAAACTAAACTGAAATAAAATATGTTGCTAAAAATATAGAAATGCCTTTCTAAAAAATTAACAAATACTTAATTACCACCTAACTTTATTTATTAGTTACTTACTTATACTTGTTGATGCTTAATAGCACTTGCTAAATAGTTAACTAATTAATTTCATGACTTCATGATTTTAAGAACATTACTTCTTAATTTTATAATTTTGCTTGTTAATTTTATCAACATGACTTTTTAACTACCTAACTTGACTTGTGAATCCTTTACAAGACATGCTTGCTCAATTTGACCATAAAACAACATCATTAATTGTTAATTTTTTTATTGTACTTGATAATTTACAAATATCTACTGACTTCACCTGTCAATAATCTTACTAATATTAGTTTTTAATTATTTAACTTTTATTTATTAATTTATCAATATTAGTTGTAAATTACATGATTTGTCAATAATCATATTAATTCAATTATTTTGTCTTAAATGTAGAATTATTAGTTGTTAATTCTCTAATTTTACTTATTAATTTATCAATTTAGTTGTTAATCTTTTTTTTTCTTTTTTGCAAAAAGGCATTTCAATGTTTTCAACAATCCTTTATTTCAGTTCAGTTCAAAAATTCTATAGTGAATTTTTAAATTTTTTTGAGACTCATTGATAAATATTTCTCTTTCCTCGTTCTCAATTGAAATTCTCAAAATTTTTTACTTGGACTTCAAGCCAAAAAAATTACTACTTATACTTAATATTTACATTTTTAAAATCACTTAAACATCTTTCTTTTACATTAATCTTTTTAATGGATACTCAAGTGTCATCCTCCCATATTTTTTTAATGCCCTATTTTAATAAATAAATAAATTATAGAGAAATTTTAAAAGGCTTGAATTGGAATTTTTGATCATAGAACGTGTTTGATTTGTAAGAAAAAATAGTATTCTTTTACTATAAATTTTGTTTAGTATCTGTACACATATTTGAATAGCAAAAAAATATTTTTAACATGATCTATATTTAGCATCATCAACATCTTTTTTTTCTAGACAAGTCAAATTATATTAATTAATATAATAAAACGATCACGAACAAAAAGGCTTTTAGGGGGTAAAACTGGAAGTCCAAGAAGTAACAATGTCCAAATACAACACAATTACAAGAAAGCCTACACTGAACATGACACTCAGGGAAAATCAAAACAAGAAAAACAAATAGAAGCACTTCATCACTAGGTTGAATTTAGAAAAAACGACTAATTTCTCATAATATGATAAACTAATGCTTAAATTTTTGAAAGATATGTCTATATTTAATATCTAACAATACCTGTCAAACATGATTACCTTCAATTGAAAGATACATGAATAATTGAAAAAAAAAAAAAGCATTTGATCCTCCTAAAAATATGTAAGGCATGCAGATAAGAAGAGCTTAAGCTTATAGTTGGTAAATTAGTAATCAATCCAAAGACTGGTCCATTGCAACTTTTCATAAGCACAGAGAGCTAAAGTTGTGGTTGATTTCAAAAATCAATAAACTAACAAATATCTTGCAGCATTTGAATTTGAAAACCTGAAGCTATAAAAGCTTTTAGTTCTTGAGATATCTTATTTGCATGTACCGTAATAAAACAAGTAACGAACCAAGAGACATCGAACAAACAAACACAGAATATGGAGACTGAAAAATTGAGAAAAGTATATAGACCTGAAAAACAAAATGAGCAAGATGAGAAATTTCCAAAAAACTATAACATCTATCAATAGGCCTCTATAATGCTACATGCCATGAAGTTCCCTCTCACAATCATCCATAAAGACAAGGTTTTTTTTGGGCTAAAACCTTATCAAACCCAAAACCCAAAGCCAACTCTATTTCACTGTCGCAAAATAGAGTAAATTTGTGCCAGCAACGCTAGGAACCAAATAAAGCCTCATAACCATAGAACCAAAACTCTTAACCATCAATAAAAGATATAATACCTTGCAATTTCAAGGCTTAAGAAACATCCACCAAGGCACATAATGTAAACACCCTCTGGGGGAAAAATATTTCAACCTTCTAATCAATTAAACTATCCTAGGGGGGTAATTGTGGTATCAAAGCATAGTTCCAGTCCTCCTGAAGGCACTATGATTTTTATTCAACTAAGTTTTATGGGAAGTATGTGAGAGAGTATTAACAGTACTTATATCTTATATATATTTATATTGTTTTAATTGTCATTCTTTCTGGCATAGGTAGAACAGTTAGCATTTAGACTAATCACCTTAATACACACTAATGTAGAAAGAAATGGTTTAGATAGGAGAAGTAATTTTAGTAACGATAACCATATAACAAATGATTTAGTTCACGCTATTGAAGGAATGACTACTGAAATGAGAGCACAAGCAGAAAAAATAGTTGCTATTATTAAAGAACAAGCTACTACTACTCAATTAGTACACAAGTTTCAAGGAAGTCATAATGAAAACATAAACTCCATTGATAGGAATCAATCACCTATTACGGAATTCCAAAATTTTATCAACCTAAAGATGATTCTAGATTTTTTAGGCCTTATTGAATTTAGAAAGGCCAAACAAACCTCCATCTTTTTTAGGAGAATACAACTCAATTGTGGTAGATGAATTAGTAGAGCAACTAGAAAAGATTTTAAAGTTATGCAATGTGCAGATAATCAAAAGGTTTCTTTTGCCACGTATATGTTAGTAAGACATACTTATAACTGGTAGAAAGAGATGAAGTGGGTTATAAAAGCTCATCAAATTGTGATAACTTGGGAAGGGTTCAAAGCTGCTTTTCTAGATAAATATATTCCAGAAAATGTCAAACATGAGAAGGAGATAAGTATAGTCAATATGTCAAAAAGTTTGAAGAATTATCAAAGTACTCTTCTTATCTCATTAATAACCTAGATGAGTCTTGAGAGGCAAGGAAGCTTAAAGCCGATCTACGATCGAATATTTATAGGCAATTATTGCTCTCGAAATTTAAACTATGCAAACTTAGTTGATAAGTATAAAGCAAGTAGATAGACATTTGGTAGATGCTAAGAAAGCCAAGCAAAAGACATTTTTTGGAACAAAAATAAGACAAGAA